CCTGTGAATCCCCATCAGGCTCCGCCCATCCAGCTTTCTAAATCCTTGCCTGCTCCACTGTCCGCGTGAAAACTGCAGCAGTGGGGATGGAGATCAACTGCCCAAAGGATGGACAATCAGTATGGCGTCTCTGCACGCGGTCTGCGCCAAAGATTCGCATACCTTTTTTTGGCCAAAATTTGTTACCCACGCCGACAATTGGAGGGCACATCAGAATTCTAATGAGTTTCTCAGACCAGGGGCGGACTGACCATTTGGAAACTCGAACACTGCCCAAGGGCCGGGGTCAGTAGGGGCCCCATGAGATGCCCCTGGTACCTTTTTCCACAGGCTTTTTTTGAGTTTGGGCACAGGGGCCCCATGATCCCCTATTGCCCAGGGGGCCCTAAGAGTTGTCAGTCCGCCCCTGTCTCGGACACTCCTGAAAATCAGAAAATCTGCTGACTTCCTCTGCTCTAGAGTCCAGTGGCGGCGTGCTTTACACCACGGCATACCGACGCCTTGCATTGCACTTGGTGACGGAAGGCTTGGATGCAGCTGCTCGGCCATGGAAACCCATTCCATGAAGCTCTCTACGCACTGTTGTTGGGCTCATCTGAAGGCCCACACCAAGTTTGGAGGTCTTTAGCTATTGACTCTCTGCAGACAGTTGGTGACTTCTGCGCACTGTGCGCTTCAGCATGCGCTGACCCCGCCCTGTCATGTGACGTGGCCTACCACTTGGTGCTGAGTGGCTGTTGTTCCCAGTTGCTTCCACTTTGTTATAATCCCACTAACAGTTGAGCGTGGGGAATATTTAGTAGCCAGGAAATGTCATGGATGGACTTATTGCCCAGGTGACCCACCTATCACGGGACCACGCTTGGAGTCACTGAGCTCCTGAGAGCGACCCATTCTTTCACCAATGTTTGTAGAAGCCGTCTGCATGCCTAGGGCTTGATTGTATACACCTGTGTCCATGGAGGGGGATTGGAGCGCCCGAACCACGTGATATATGGAGGGGGTGGGAACGCCCGAACCACGTGATATGGGAGGAGGGGTGGGAACGCCCGAACCACGTCAAACTGGGAGGCGGGGTGGGAACGCCCGAAACCACGTGATATGGGAGGGGGGTGGGAACGCCCGAACCAACGTGATATGTGGAGGGGGATGGGAACGCCCGAACCACGTGATATGGGAGGGGGGTGGGAACGCCCGAACCACGTGATAAGGGGAGGGGGTGGGAACGCCCGAACCACGTGATATGGGAGGGGGGTGGGAACGCCCGAACCACGTGATATGGGAGGGGGGGTGGAACGCCCGAACCACGTGATATATGGGAACGCCTCCCCGATACCACGTATGGAGGGGGGTGGGAACGCCCGAACCACGTGATATGGAGGGGGGTGGGAACGCCCGAACCACGTGATATGGAGGGGGGTGGGAACGCCCGAACCACGTGATATGGAGGGGGGTGGGGAACGCCCGAACCACGTGATATGGAGGGGGGTGGGAACGCCCGAACCACGTGATATGGAGGGGGGTGGGAACGCCCGAAACCACGTGATAATGGAGGGGGGTGGGAAACGCCCGAACCACGTGATATGGAGGGGGGTGGGAACGCCCGAACCACGTGATATGGAGGGGGGTGGGAAAACGCCCGAACCACGTGATATGGAGGGGGGGGTGGGAACGCCCGAACCACGTGATATGGAGGGGGGGGGGAACGCCCGAACCACGTGATATGGGAGGGGGGTGGGGAACGCCCGAACCACGTGATATGGAGGGGGGTGGAACGCCCGAACCACGTGATATGGAGGCGGAGGTGGGGGGGTGGGAACGCCCCGAACCACGTGATATGGAGGGGGGTTTGGGAACGCCCGAACCACGTGATATGGAGGGGGGTGGGAACGCCCGAGACCACGTGATATGGAGGGGGGTTGGGAACGCCCGAACCACGTGATATGGAGGGGGGTGGGAACGCCCGAACCACGTGATATGGAGGGGGTGGTGGGAACGCCCGAACCACGTGATATGGAGGGGGGTGGGAACGCCCGAACCACGTGATATGGAGAGGGGTGGGAACGCCGAGAACCACGTGATATGGCGGGGGGGTGGGAACGCCCGAACCACGTGAATGGAGGGGGGGGGTGGGGAACGCCCGAACCACGTGATATGGAGGGGGGGGTGGGAACGCCCGAAACCACGTGATATGGAGGGGGGTGGGAACGCCCGAACCACGTGATATGGAGGGGGGTGGGGAACGCCCGAACCACGTGATATGAGGAGGGGGAACTCCCGACAACCACGGATAGGAGGTGGGAACGCCCGAACCACGTGATAATGGAGGGGGGGCGGGGAACGCCCGAACCACGTGATATGGAGGGGGTGGGAACGCCCGAACCACGTGATATGAGGGGGGGTGGGGAACGCCCGAACCACGTGATATGGAGGGGGGTGGGAACGCCCGAACCACGTGATATGGAGGGGGGGGGGAACGCCCGAACCACGTGATATGGGAGGGGGTGGGAACGCCCGAACCACGTGATATGGAGGGGGTGGGAACGCCCGAACCAACGTGATATGGGAGGGGGGTGGGAACGCCCGAACCACGTGATATGGGAGGGGGGTGGGAACGCCCGAACCACGTGATATGGGAGGGGGGTGGAAACGCCCGAACCACGTGATATGGGAGGGGGGGTGGGAACGCCCGAACACCACGTGATATGGGAGGGGGTGGGAACACCCGAACCACATGATTGGGAGGGGGTTGGAACACCCGAACTCACATGATTGGGAGGGGGTTACCCCTAAAAACACCCGAATCACATGATATGGGAGGGGGTGGGAACACCCGAAACCACATGATTGGGAGGGGGGTTGGAACACCCGAATCACATGATATGGGAGGGGGGTTGGAACACCCGAATCACATGATTGGGAGGGGGTTGGAACACCCGAATCACATGATTGGGAGGGGGTTGGAACACCCGAATCACATGATTGGGAGGGGGTTGGAACACCCGAATCACATGATTGGGGAGGGGGTTGGAACACCCGAATCACATGATTGGGAGGGGGTTGGAACACCCGAATCACATGATTGGGAGGGGGTTGGAACACCCAATCGACATGATTGGGAGGGGGGTTGGAACACCCGAATCACATGATTGGGAGGGGTTGGAACACCCGAATCACATGATTGGGAGGGGGTTGGAACACCCGAATCACATGATTGGGAGGGGGTTGGAACACCCGAATCACATGATTGGGAGGGGGTTGGAACACCCGAATCACATGATTGGGAGGGGGTTGGAACACACCCGAATCATCAATGATTGGGAGGGCGATGGGGGCCGACACTTTTGGCACTATAGTGCAGATCCTTTGGAAAGCCCGGCGAGGGCAGCGCGGAGTTAAAGGACAAGACATCAATAATCGCCCGTTTCAGGGATGAATGGCGCCTTCTTCAGGACAGAAGTCCAATCACATTTATACTGATCAGATAATCGGACCTAAGAGAGGGATCTCTATGGAGGAAAGCGAAGAGCAGAAGGGCGGAGCCAGCTCTCTCACCATCAGTTTCTGCGAGCGCCCGTTCTCGCCATCACGCGTTTTTTTCTTCGCGCTACGAAACAGGATCAGGGCACGGTGGACGCACACAGGAACTACTTCCCACTGTCATCTCAGAAGCTCCTCCCATCGGCGCACTGCCTTGGAGGGCAATGAGCTGCGTTTTTTGAGGCATTTCAGTGAAAATCACGCATCACGTTACCATCCACGGCCACGCACGGAACACGCTAAATACACATCAGGCGGTTTAATTGATGCGTCTCTCAGGTCACATGTCCTAACAGACTCAAAATGGAAACAGGAAATGATCAAAAAACGATGAGGAAGAAAAAACGCACATCAGCAACGCACGCTAAAATAATCCGAAAATATGGGAAACACCCACATCATAATGGGCACAGCGGGGGTTGCAGACCCCGGGAACTCGGCACAGGGACATGGTGGGAACCCCTCCATAATGGGCACAGCGGTGAATGGCAGACCCGGGAACTCGGCACAGGGATGGGTGGAGAACCCCTCATAATGGGCACAGCGGGGGTACACAGAGACCCGGGAACTCGGCACAGAGATGGTGGGTTACCCCTCATAATGGGCACTGCGCGGGGGTACAGACCCCGGGAATCAAGTTGGGTCAGCACAGAGGATGGTGGGTTTACAACCCCTCATCATGGTGGGACCCCTCAATGGGCACAGCGGTGTACAGACCCGGGAACTCAAGCACAGGGATGGTGGGAACCCCTCATAATGGGCACAGCGGGTGTACAGAACCCGGGGAACTCGGCACAGGGATGGTGGGAACCCCTCATAAGTTGGGCACAGCGGGGGTACAGACCCGGGAACACTCGGCACAGAGGATGGTGGGAACCCCTCATAATGGGCACAGCAGCGGGCGGGCGTACAGACCCGGGAAACTCGGCACAGGGAGTGGTGGGAACCCCTCATAATGGGCACGGTGGGCGTACAGACCCCGGGAACTCAGCACAGGGATGAGTGTGGAACCCCTCATAATGGGCACAGCGGGGCGTACAGACCCGGGGAAACGTCTCGGCACAGGGATGGTGGGGGAACCCCTCATAATGGGCACTGAGGTATCTTGGGGCGTACAGACCCGGGAACTCAGCACAGGGAATGGTGGAATGTTTAGTGATGTAATGGAATGTAAAGGAGAACGTTTAGTGGCCCCCGATGTCTGGTGTCGGGCCCCTGGTGTATTATACAATGGATACATTTGTAGCCAATACTGTATTTCAGGGCTCCCCTAGGATACAATGTGGGGGCCAGTGGGGAGGGAAGGAGGGGATTGTAGACCTGCAGTGGGATAGAGAGGCGGGGTGGAGGGGATTGTAGTCCTGCAGTGGAGGGATGGAGGGGATTGTAGTCCTGCAGTGGGAGGGATGGAGGGATTGTAGTCCCAGCCCCCTGTGTACAATGGAGGACTCTCTGCCTACCTTCAGCTGGGACTTGGAGACTTTCCCACTCTTGTCCACGTCCAGGGCGGTGAAGGCGTGCCAGATGGGCTTCAGGAGCTCTTCCCTGGTCAGGGCCATGGCGGTGCCGGGAGAGGGGGGGGGGGAAGGGTCCGGCTGCAACTTCTCACAGATCTCGTCTGTATGAGACTCCGGAGTTATCTGCTCCCCCCCCCTCCTCCTGTCAATATGACCTTCCCTTCCTCAAACCAATCACAGCCCTCCCCGCACTTCCCGGTATGAATACCTCGGACAATGAGGGCGCCTGTGCCGTCTACTGAGGGGGGAGCGCAGCCAACGCCTCCCGCACCTGCAAGTCACCAACCCACCAATCAGCAGCTGCGCCCCCCCCCCCCCCCCCCCCCCCCCCGCATGAGACCCCACACACCTCCGGAGACCACAACTTATAATCGAGTTCATTTCAAACTTATCAAATTATTATTATTATTTATTGTTATTTACTGATCATTATTTATTTGTTATTATTATTACACTGTTATTGCGGCCTGTCTGTCACCATCGGACTGCATCAGACATCCACACCTTCCAATGTTTCCAGAGACGACTTGCTGCTGCGCTGACCTTTAGGATCTCGCTGAGCACAATGTAGTGATACGATCGGCCACACACGGGGAAGACTTTCATACGAACGTTCGAGCCAAAAAAACAAGATCTCCTCAGGACATTCGCCGAGACCAACATTGATTTGTTCAAAAGCACTTCAAATGTTTGTGGTCTTGTGATTTTGGAATTAATTTCATTTTCCTGAATGAGAGCGACAATCCGACTGTGATTCCCGTCACCGACTATCTCCCGAAAAATGAACATTGATTGAACCCCCCCCCCCCCCCAACCTCCGCCCCCCGTACTGTGCCCTCCCGACCACCACCCCCCCCTGTTACTGTTGCCCTCCCCGACCAGACCCCCCCTGTACTGTAGACCTCCTGAATCACCCAAGCCCCCTGTACTGTTACCCCCCTGACCCCCCCCCCCTGTTTACTGTGCCCTCCTGACCCCCCCCCCCTGTACTGTGCCCTCCTGACCGCCCCCTGTACTTTACCCTCCTGCACCCCCACCCTGTACTGTGCCCCTCCTGACCCCTCCCCCCTGTACTGTACCCTCCTGACCCGACCCACCCCCCCGTACTGCTTACCCTCCTGACCCCCCCCCCCCCTGTACTGTGGCCCTCCTGACCCCCCCCCTGTACTGTGCCCTCCTGACAGGCCCCCCCCCCCCCTGTACTGTAGCCCCTCCTGACCCCCCCCCCTGTACTGTGCCCTCCCTGACATCCCCCCCCCCCTTGTACTGTGCCCTCCTGACTCCACCCCCCTGTACTGTGCCCTCCTGACCCACCCCCCCCTGTACTGTGCCCTCCTGACCCCCCCCCCTGTACTGTGCCCTCCTGACCCCCCCCCCTGTACTGTGCCCTCCTGACCCCCCCCCTGTACTGTGCCCTCCTGACCCCCCCCCCCCCTGTACTGTGCCCTCCTGACCCCCCCTGTACTGTGCCCTCCTGACTCCCCCCCCCTTGTACTGTGCCCTCCTGACTCCCCCCCCTGTACTGTGCCCCCTCCTGACCCCCCCCTGTACTGTGCCCTCCTAACCCCCCTGTACTGGTGCCCCCCCTGTACTGTGCCCCTACCCTGAACCCCCCCCCCCCTGTACTGTGCCCTCCTGACTCCCCACCCCTGTACTGTGCCCCTCCCTGACTCCCCCCCCCCCTGTACTGTGCCCTCTCTGACCCCCCCCCCTGTATTGTGTCCTCCTGACCCCCCCCCCCGTACTGTGTCTTCCTGACCCCCCCCCCCTGTACTGTGCCCTCCTGACCCCCCTGTACTGTGTCCTCCTGTACCCCCCCCCCCTGTACTGTGCCCTCCTGACCCCCTTATACTAAAAAGGGCCAGCGGGGCCAATAATCGTCCTGTACAGAGTCTGTAGAATCCACATTGATAACACCGATAGTCCTCCAGATCCAAAAATAGACCGTGCTGCATATGTGCCCCATAAACCTGACATCTGACCCCGGGAGACCTTTATGTGCCCATAAACCTGACATCTGACCCCGGGAGACCTTTATGTGCCCCCATAAACCTGACATCTGACCCGGGAGACCTTTATGTCCCCCGTAAACCCGGCATCTGACCGCGGGAGACCTTCATGTGCCCCGTAAACCCGGCATCTGACCCCGGGAGACCTTCCCCCCTATAAACCCGACATCTGACCCCGGGAGACCTTTATGTGCCCCGTAAACCCGACATCTGACCCCTGGGAGACCTTCATGTACCCCCATAAACCCGACATCTGACCCCGGGAAAGTTTTATGTTGACCCCATAAACCCCACATCCCCCCGGGAGACCTTCATGTGCCCATAAACCCGACATCTGACCCCGGGAGACCTTTATGTGCCCATAAACCCGACATCTGACCCCGGGAGACCTTCATGTACCCCGTAAACCCGACTCTGACCCGGGAGCCCTTCATGTGCCCCCGTAAACCCGACATCTGACCCCGGGAGACCTTCATGTGCCCCGTAAACCCGACATCTGACCCCGGGAGACCTTCATGTGCCCCGTAAACCCGACATCTGACCCCGGGAGACCTTCATGTGCCCCGTAAACCCGACATCTGACCCCGGGAGACCTTCATGTGCCCCGTAAACCCGACATCTGACCCCGGGGACCTTCATGTGCCCCGTAAACCCGACATCTGACCCCGGGAGACCTTCATGTGCCCCGTAAACCCGACATCTGACCCCGGGAGACCTTCATGTGCCCCGTAAACCCGACATCTGACCCCGGGAGACCTTCATGTGCCCCGTAAACCCGACATCTGACCCCGGGAGACCTTCATGTGCCCCATAAACCCAACATCTGACCCCGGGGAGACTTTCATGTGCCCCATAAACCCAACATCTGACCCCAGGAGACCTTCATGTGCCCCATAAACCCGACATCTGACCCCGGGAAAGTTTTTATGTTCCCCATAAACCCGACATCTGACCCCGGGAGACTTTTATGTGCCCCATAAACCCAACATCTGACCCCGGGGAGACCTTCATGTGCCCCCATAAACCCGACATCTGACCCGGGAGACTTTTATGTGCCCCATAAACCCGACATCTGACCCCGGGAAACTTTTATGTGCCCCATAAACCCGACATCTGACCCCGGGAGACTTTATGTGCCCCATAAACCTGACATCTGACCCCGGGAGACCTTTATGTGCCCCATAAACCCGACATCTTACCCCGGGAGACCTTTATGTGCCCCATAAACCCGACATCTGACCCCGGGAAACTTTTATGTTCCCCATAAAACCCGACATCTGACCCCGGGAGACCTTTATGTGCCCCATAAACCTGACATCTGACCCCGGGAGACTTTTATGTGCCCCATAAACCCGACATCTTACCCCAGGAGACCTTTATGTGCCCCATAAACCTGACATCTGACCCCGGGAGACCTTTATGTGCCCCATAAACCTGACATCTGACCCCGGGAGACCTTTATGTGCCCCATAAACCCAACATCTGACCCCGGGAGACCTTCATGTGCCCCATAAACCCGACATCTGACCCCGGGAGACCTTTATGTGCCCCATAAACCCGACATCTGACCCCGGGAGACCTTTATGTGCCCCATAAACCTGACATCTGACCCCGGGAGACCTTTATGAACGTCTGTGAGTACATTTTATGCTCCTATAATGAAGTGTTTACAAGGCAGTAGGATGGCACGCTGCGCTCGCTCCCGTCTTTCCTGCTGAGCCTGTCTATTGGCCGATTCCCTGCACATTGGATCCCTGGTCACCATTTCTGGGAGATGGAGACATCCACGACGAATGTTCGATGAGACGCTATTTCCTTCATTGTGAGCACATAATTGGCTCTTTATTCCGTCTAGATTTCTAGAGATAACACAGAGGAGTCTACTGATCAAACAACAAACATTGTATAGCTGTTCGTCCATCTGCATCGAACCAACCAGCCGCTGTGACAATGGAGCAAAGTCGAATGTTCTCAGGCCGTTTCCTCCTCGGGTCGAAGGTTCTTCAAATATTATGGGCAGCAGTAAAGATAAGTTCAGGGTCTCCAAACTACGGCCCCCAGGTGATGAGGAACTGCAAGTCCCCGAGAGAGCCACAGGCAAGACTCCGAGAGGCAGAGGCTTGCTGAGACTTGTAGTACTTCAGCACCTGGAGGGCCATAGTTCAGAGACCCCCCTGAGTTAATTCATGGCATAGACAGTGAATCAGGAAAATACTGCATCATGACCACTAGAGAGAGCTGAGAATCACAGGAAGTAATACATTGTAGTAAGAAGAAATACAATGTAACAATTCTAGAGAACGCTGGAGGGAAATAGTGAGGAAACAGGGATCCTGGAGTAACATTGTTTACATTTTTAAAACAAAAATAAGAAAATCGAATGTTCTTAAGATATTCTGTCTTTTGGTCGAAGGTTCTTCTACTCTTCTGGGAAGCGGAGATAAGTCCATTCACAGGGACAATTCCATCGGGGAAAACAGTGCATCATGGCCACTAGATGGAGCTGAACATCATAGGAAACACGACACCTTGGTAAGAAAAAAAAAAACCACAATGTAACAATTTTAGAGAACGGGAATAAATGGGGATCCGGAAATATCATCGTTTACATTTATTTGCTGATTCAAAAGAAAAAAAAAAAATCGAATGTTCTTATATTCTTCCTCTTCTGGTCAAAGGTTCTTCAAATATTATGGGCAGCAGTGAGGATCTATTCATAGTGAGTAATGTAATAATTCAAGAGAACGCTGGAGGGAATTAGTGAATAAACGGGGATTCTGGGTAGAAAGGCCTGTGTCCTGCCAGCATGCGGAAGCAGTGGTCTCTCTGCTTCCCCCCCCCCCCCCCCCTCTCTGACACCCCCCCCCCCCCCCCACAGCTAAGTCAGACCTATATTTCTGCAATCAGCAAAGTGTATATATTATATTTTATACATTTTGTTTTATAAAGCAGCCGCTGCATGAGTAGTAGGCCTGTCTCCTGCCAGCATGTGGAAGCAGTGGTCTCTCTGCAGAGGTCAGATACCCCTCCCCC